CTCATACTTTACTACACGATGTATACATGGATGATTTGCTATCGGGTTCAAGTACCGATAGTGATGCAATATCACTTTGTAAGGAAATTACCAATATTTTACAAACGCACGGTTTCCACCTACGAAAGTGGAATTCTAATTCAAATGCATTTCTTGCAGAATTTCAAGAACATTGTTCAACGGACACTAATTTAGAAATAATTCCTAATGATAAGGAAAGCACGAAAGTCTTAGGATTATTTTCTGGACAGCATTTCCCTTACATCAGAAGTTTTGTACATTTTTCTCTGGAAACTGGGATTCTCTTTCCACAATGCAGTTGAATTTCATTTTACCACATTTTAGTTCCTAGAGGTGTCACGCTTATTTCCTCTGACACATTTGAATTGCACGGCTTTTGCGACGCTTCAACACTTGCTTACGCTGCTGCAATATATTGCAAACAAATACACGGAAATGAAATAAAGGTTTCTCTCTTAGTTTCTAAAACTAAAGTCGCACCTATCAAACAAGTATCTGTTCCTAAATTGGAACTATGCAGTGCTCATTTGCTTTCAAAGTTATATCGTGCAGTCATGAACACTCTCAAAAAATATAAGTTTGATGTTTACGCTTGGACTGACTCCAAAGTCGTATACTTTCCTGGCTTTCCGCGCACATCCCCGTAAATGGAAGACTTTTGTTAGCAAACCGGACGTCTCAAATAATCGAAGTACTTCCAAAAAAATACTGGAGGCATGTCCCTTCCAAAGAGAACCCAGCAGATATCGCTTCGCGTGGTATTGATCCCAAATGTCTTCCTAATTGCAACTTGTGGTGGAATGGCCCAAGTTGGCTTTTTTTGGATTCGTCTCACTGGCCGAAAGAGGAATCCGCTTCCAAAGAAATCAAGGATCTAATTAAAGCTGAACAAAGATCTGATCCTATATTTTCATTTCATAGTGCTACATCAAATGAATTATATAGTGATTTATTTGAAAAAAATATTCATCATTTTCTAAGATTATACGCATTTTAGCATATTGTTTAAGATTCATCAATAAGTGCAAAACCAATAACAAATGTCAAACACTTATAACTGATTCCTTTTCTCCACTCACTTACACGGAAACTAAAAATGCAGAAAAAGTAATCATAATTCGATGGGTTCAGATTACTTTGTTAAGATCTTTTTATCTTTTTAATGAAGACCTAAAATGCATTAAAAATCAAAGATCGTTGCCTAAGAAAAGTCAGCTACACTCCCTCCATCCGTTTATAGATGAAAACAGTCTTTTACGGGTGGGAGGGCGTTTACAAAATTCAGAATTGTCTTTTAATCAAAAGCACCCAGTGATTCTACCTGCTAAACACAAGATAAGTGAGCTCATCGTAAAAGAAAAGCATGTGACTTATTTACATGCTGGTGCTTCATTACTGTCCCACATTATCAAACAATCATATTGGATCATAGGTGGAAAAAAGCTCATTAATAAATGTGTTCACAAATGCATCAAATGCTTCAAATTTAAAGCATCCACCACATCCTCAGCTTATGGGTAATCTGCCTAAGCATCGAGTAACACTCGAGAGGCCTTTTCTTCAACTGCGGAGTGGACTATATGCCGGTCCTATTTCAATCAAATTCAACAAGGGGTCGTGGAGCAAAATCAACCAAGGGTTACATTGCTCTATTTATTTGTCTTCGCTACTAAGGCACTACACATCGAGGCAGTGAGCGATTTAACCGCTGATGCATTTTTAGCTGCTTTGCGTCGCTTCAGTGCTAGACGAGGAGCTCCAAGTCACATTTACAGCGACAATGCAACAAAAACTTCGTTGGGGCTAATCGAAACTCAGCGAAATACAACGATTGTGGGCCTTCACTTCCTAAGAACGAAGCCGTTGCTCATCATTTAACTCAAGCATCAATAGAATGGCACTTTATACCTCCAGCATCTCCTCATTTCGGAGGAATTTGGGAGGCCGCAATTAAATCAACCAAATATCACTGTAAAAGAGTAATAGGTGAAACTCTACTTACTTTCGAAGAATTGACAACTCTATTGGCTCAGATAGAAGCCATTTTAAATTCTCGTCCGTTTATGTAGTGTAAACAATACTGACATTGATTGCATTAATATTCTCACTCCTTCACATTTTCTTACAGGAGACGTGATCCTCTCCCCTCCTGAACTACCTCTTACTAGTCCTGCCAATATACGGAATAGGTGGGATCTCTTTCAAAAGATGCGGAAGGCCTGCAAATCTGCAAATCATGGGATCAGGAAATGGAGGACACTCAGTCCTGTTACTAGATGATGGTCATCTTCCAGGTTCTTGGCCACTAGGACAAGTGGTCGAACTTCATCATGGTGCTGACGGACTGGTTCGTGTGGCCACGGTTAAAAACTAAAAACTCTATTTTTAAAAGAAACATTCATAAATTAGCACCTTTGCCCATATATCAGGACTAATGCCTGATAGGGTGGGAGTTATGTTCCGGTGCACCGGAACAGAACAACTCAACCTGACTCTTTCGCTTTTGGAACTATGCCAAAGAACATTTAATTCAGTTGAATAGTCAGACTCAGACGAACGCATTCGCAAGGCAGCTGCTATGCTGTCTATTCTTCACTATTTTTGTTCTGTTCTCGTATTATAAGTGTTATATGTCATTTGCTTGTTTACACTTGTATTGTGCAATTATTTAATATAAGTTTTGTGTTTAAAACGAGGCAGTGTATCGAGTTCATTCACATTATATCGCAACAGTGTTCGAAGATAATGGAAAATTTGAACTTCAAAAAGGAGGTATAAAACTCAACAGTCACAGGAGGAAGTTCTCTTGAGAATGACTTCATCATTTAATAAGTTGATTAGAGTTACTGCGTGGTGTTTAAGATCAAGAGTAGAATCAATCCACCAATAAGAAAAGAAATTTGTTTGAGTCCTTCTGAATAGCAGAATACAACAAAGGTGCTAGTCAAATGTGTACAACATTCTGAGTTTCAATTTGAAATTAGCTGCCTTCTGTCAAAATAACCAATTCAAAGTAACAGTAAGGTTTCATCTTTAAATGTATTTCCCGACAAAGATGAACTTTTACAAGTTGGTGGGAGATTAAGTATCTCCAATCTTTCGAAAGTAAAGAAACATCAACTCCTTTTGCCAAAAGGACATCACTTCACTGAATTACTCATAGATTAATATCACAAAAAATCTCTTCACTTGGTATTCAAACTACACTTCCTCTTTATAGACAATTATACTGGGTATATTCTGGACAAGACAGAGTTAGACGTGTTATAAATAAATACATTACTTGCTTTCAGACAATAAACTAAATTGAAGGGAGATTGAGCTAGAGATAGAGTAATAACAACCAGATCATTCAAAAAAATAGGACTAGACTTTGCAGGACCAGTTATCACTAAACCTAATTTGAAAAGACCTGGAGTTATTTTAAAATCATATATTGCAATATTTACTTGCTTTAGCATAAAGGCTTTCAGTTAGAAATAGTGCTGGATTTGTCTATTGAAGCATTTCTAGAAGATTTACTGCAGACGATCCAAACCCTCTATTGTGTGGAGTGATAATGCTACAAACTTCAAGAAAGTAAAAAAAATTATCTTGATAAGCTCCTTAGAATTTCTAGATCAGATCCTGTTCAACACTTTAGTTCCAAAGAAGGCATAACATGGAATATTTTTTCTGCCTTCTTCCCCACATTTTGACAGATAGTGAAAGGCTAATATAAAATCAATGAACATAATTTTGATAAAGGTCGATTTTAAACTTCAAAAGCTTTATTACATTAGTTACACAAATAGAAGCTTGTTTGAACTCTTTAAACTCTTAACCTCTATCACGTATTTCTGCTGATTCAACAGATCATCAGCCTTTGATCTGATTATTAATACAATTATGTACTTACATAGCATTAGTCAAAATTAACATTATTAACATAGCATTAGTCATTTCCTAATAGGAGCTTTACTTCTGTCGATACCAGAACCAAATGACACACTAGATTCTTTGTCCTGGTCTTCTAGGTTTAACCTTAAGTTAGAAACATAAGAGTTAATTTCTGGAACTGTTGGAGTATGGAAAATCTCAACTATTTGCAGACCCATTAAAAATGGAATCAACTGAAAGCCAGCCTCAAAGTAGGACAAATAGTTTTTCTGAAGGATAAAAACAAGACTTCCATGAAGTGGGTACTATCTGGCATTAAGGAGATCTTTTCTGGTCAGGATGAACTAGTACGAGTTGTGAACATAAGATCATCAGATCTTTCGCCATGCCATCTCCAATGTCAGCCTACTCCCATTCCCAAATTTTGTTGGATAAATTCTCCAAATGTTCTGATTTGAACAGACACCTTTTTCTGCCACTGAATGGCAATGCGAAAGCCAGCAGAAGCACAATAATTTAGAAAATGCTATGTCTATAATTCAACAGTCTGAACTTTGGAACTTGTTTTTGGTTTGTTGGATGCTGCTAGAGTGCTGCGGATGAGATATTAAATAGATTCTAGATTAGATTAATTTGTTTTGGTATTCTAATAAATTCCCTTTTAAACTAAATTGAATATTGAATTAGACAGAAATACTGCTGAACCACACATGTAAAAATTTAGATTCATTGTAGAACTTTGTTAGACATGCTGTGCAATTATTGTCTATTGAACATCCTCCTTTTTTTAATCCTGCATGCTGCTTTTAGATGGCAACATTACAATTAACAGCATTAAAAAATTAAGCAACAACATTAACATTAAAGAAATAGAATTAACAACGTTAAAAAAAGTTGTTAATTGTGAGAGTAAATGTTATATTTTAAATCAGAATATTATTGACAATAACTAAATCTGAAACAGAATAAGTTAAATTACATTTGCAATGCTTTACTCTTAAATCAAACAAAATTCAAGGAATTTTCCTGCTGTGCAAGGGAAAGAATATATTTAACTGAATCTAAATATTAAAAATATATAAATTAAATAAACACCTCACCTAAAGCATTAAGTTTGGTAAAAAATGTAGGTGATTTCAAGCTGACTAGTGGAGCAAAACAAGCGGCAATATAGAATGGAATTGTCCCATCCATTTCCCAGTATTGGTAAAATATTTCCTTTGTGCTGTTAGAGTGATCAGACAAATATGGCACACTAAAACTATTATTTAATGGAGTTGCAGAAGGGCAGTACACTATTAAAAAAATAACATACATTTATTAAAATATAATATTACATACTCAAAAAGAAGAAATTTAAAACAAACAGGAAAAAGTAATTGGTTTTTTTTCAAATTTCAGTTTACGACCTGAAAATTCACATAAAGTTATAACTTTACTAAGTGAAATATTCAATAAAAAACTACAACTGATTTTTTTTGGGGGGGGGCAATGAAAAGTAATTATGTTGGGAAAGAAAAGCTGAAAATTAATTCATTGCATCTACCCGATATAGGGAATTTTATAAAGTCCAGGAAGATAAAAGTCATTCTGAAAAACATGGAAACCTTTTACTGAAGCATATGAAACACACAGAAGGGCAGATACAATACCCAAACATTTTTTCATGTTCCAATCTAAAGACCACAATTCTCATATATTCTAGAAGGGCTACCCAGATGGTATAGTGGTTAGGGAAGCCAACTGCGATACCAAAGGGCCTGGGTTCGAAACGCATGGATGTAAATTGTCTGTTCGCTCATAGGAGGTAACGGTGGCCGTCTATTAGGTGCCTCCACAATAAAATGGCCACCACTTCTGGCCTTAAGTATGGCCAATGCTGAAAAAGGCAAGTGCTTGCCATTCGATAAATAAATAATATATATATATAATATAGTTTTTTTAGAGACGTCAATCCTACTCCAGCTCAAGGCACACTTTCTCAAGTTGCAGCTAACATCTGATTCATGGATCAGTGAATTTATTTTTAACTTTTCAACGGCTAATGATTGCTTTTTAAAAAATGAAAGATGACCTGCCCTTAAATAATACATGATTCTTGTAGCACTTAAAGTAATTTTCTTCGTTAACCCTCAGCGGAGGCTGGGTAGGTACAAATGGTAGAAGGTGCGGCAATGAAGGGCGGTCGTCGAGGATCACTCTGCATTTCAGTTTGCTATGAAACGTAACTAATTAAATAAAGTCGTAATAGTAATGCATATAACAAAAGAGTAATAAAAAAATTAATTCCAATTATTATTCAGAAAGATGGAAAGAATTTTTTAAGAAAAACAAGTAATTCAAAAAATGTAATGGTGGGTAAGAGGTAGGTATGGAGTATCTTATTATTTTATGTATAAAAATTCTAAAGATACCCAATCAAATTTACAAATGAAATATCCTGGAAAGTCGGTAGTGGAGAAAACGGCACAAAGGAAAAAATTAAAACCAGTTGCTACGGAATCCTCTCAGAGGTCCCTTGCCACGGCAGCAGGGGCTGGCAAAGGGACGGTCTGCCCAGTAAAGGTGTAGGTAACAGAACACTCAAACATTTTATCATAGTGAATAGGCGTCGACTATCGCACTAGGCAGGCCTTGAGCTTGTTTGCAGGGGCTTGCCCCTTCGGGGGGGGGAGGGGGGTCTCTGGGTTCCGCTTTATGAAGACCGGCGAAGATGCTCGATAGGCAGAGAGAAATGGTATTTTCAGCGATTCGAATGGGGTTTCATCAAGATGAGCTAGATGGGGCAAAAAAGATCTTCTAACTGATGGGGCAGCGGGTGGCAAAGTGCAGAGCACTGCACAAGGTCACCCGCATGTAGCAATACAAAAAGTGGCCAGGTTCCACCTCCTGGTTTTGTCGGGGGAAGCAGGAATCTATTGCTGATCGCTTTGAGATCTTGGAGAGCATGCATCCGTTACTTTAGATAATTGTAGAAGGCGCGATAGCATCATCATATTTGTATTTATAGTTTCGGGAAACAGAAGTCATCTTATAGCGTCACAAGGTTTGGCACTGCGAAAGTTTGCAAAGTTTGGGTTTAGGGGGCTGCACGCATGTCATTTCAATATAATAAAAACATTTGTTGGGGAAACTATTCCGATTCATCGACTCATTGCGTTATCCAAATTGTCAGTGTCTTCACCACCGAGACGTCATCAACCGCTTCTAAAACCACAATAATCTTCAGGAGGTAAATATTCTTCGTTCGGGACATCTTTGAGGAGGGGGCGTACTGCGTTCGCCTACGCGACATGTTCACAATAACTGCTTTCGAAAGGAAAGCGAAAACCAGACTCACCAGAAATACCAGATGCATTGCACTCGTAGAATGTTTCTAGGAGGGTAGAGGAAGGGAGGAAGCTCAGGAAGGAGTTGTTTGAAAATTACAGCCCAAAAGATGGCATTGGCGTACTGTGTACGCCGGCTCCTCCATTGCAGGGTTAAAACTACTTTCACTGGTGTGGAACCTATCACAAAAGATAAAATTAAATCGCTTACCTATAATGTTATTACGGCTTACCAATGCAGAGGCTGTTGCAAGTTCAGTTTCTTTTGTTTTTTCAGGAACAGAGTTAAAAAAAAAAAGAATGAGAACCAAAGCCAGTTCTTGCTAATGATACTATCTCTTTACCCTGAACTTCTTGGTGAAGATATTCATTAGTTACTCTAAAGTATGGGAGTTCTTGGAATCTCTAAACTCATAATTTCTCCTTGTTTCCCATGTGAGCAACATGTTTTTTTTTTTAAGGCAGCTTTCTACTAATGGAATTAGAAAATCTCCAAACTTTTCTTGCATTCTTCCTAAGCTCTCAGTTTAGCTTTCAGCTCAACACATAAGCTGCCAGATTGGTCTTGGTTTATCTACTCATACCATTCTTCATAATCATGGTCAATAAATTACGAACATAAACCTGGACAAGCAAATCATCTCTTGCAAATCGTTCTTTTAACTGCCCAATGGCCTTTCGGTAATTCTCTACTGTTGCCGGAAAACTCTGAATGAGACATTCAGCTTTCAATTTTGGCTCCCCAAACTGCTTTAGATACTGTATTTTATTTTTATCAGGCAGAAACTTATCTTCATGAATCTTCTGATATAGGCTCCAGATGGACAAGTAATCTTTTGGGTCACCTGAAAATTTCTTCAACTCAGTTTTTGGTTGTTTAAATTTTCTTTTCTTCATTTCTAGGTGCAGAAGCTTCTTGCAACTGCTTTTCCAGTTTAACATAAATTTATAAATGCCAATAAGTTTCAGCTTCTTCAAAATCATCAGTATACAGTTTCCTATCATTTACATTCTTCAATAAACTTTAATAACTAACAACCTTCAAGTCTCTGGAATTTAAGAATAAGTTGCAGCTTTAAAATAATAAATCCATTTGCACCTATAACTTCTTTAACCAGTTTACTTTTAAATTTTTTTCACAGTGAGAACAAATGACATTCTCAGACCCTTTTGTTGTGCTTTTAATGCATTCAAATCCATCTCAGATAATAACTCTAATTTTAGAGTTCTAAATTCAAAAATATCAATATCCCTGAATATACCACATTCTTATGCTGATAATGTAGAGCCAAAATTTAATTCAAGAGTTCACATCTCACCAATACAAGCTAAGAAGATAAGAGTCATTTTGAAAAACATGAAAACACTTTATTGAAGCACATGAAACACATACAAGGACAGACACAATAACCAAACATTCTTTCACATTCCAACATTAATACTGACTCTCATTCACACACATTCTAAAAGCTGACGCCACTCTAATTCAACTTCGATTCACTTCAGTTCACCACAACTTACTCACACACGCATACATCGCACATGTAAACTGGATGCTAAAAATACGCCAATAATAAAGAAAAAATAGTGTACAGGCATATAGATATGTAACACTTCTTATTTATAAATATCATGGCATGTGTATTGTTAATTACCATGCCTATTGCCTCACTGCAAAAACCACAAATCTGTACTTAAGTACTACTCTCCAAAAGATACAAATAAATATGCACTAAGGAAAGATTCACACAGTTGTTTAACTGTTAGACTTGTCACAGTCATAATACATAAAAGTCATTAGTAATGTTCTCATATGTGGAACAGGGTCTAAGCTGAAGTTAATCAAGGAAGGTACATTTGGGCATGCATGAATGTGCAGTTGATACAGTAAAATCCTTCACCAGATGTCAGTCCATGCTTGGTTCACTGTGACTGGCCGATTTTTATCTCATCTTGGCATAAAGTTGAGAAGTTAGAACACTTAGATAAAATCCTTATACCAGTTCCCACGAGGTAGCAAAGTCTAGTTTGCTAGCAAAGACATTGCCAGTGATAACCAGAAATCCTTCATGTTACAGGATTCATAGCCACATTTTAGTTAAAAAAATAAGCACCTATAAGCACTTTTCAAGCACATTTTAAGAAAAAAAATAAGCACCGTCCTAATTACATCTACACAACTGCATAACCTTAAAATTAGAATTTTTTTTAAATATGAAAACGAATACTTATTAAGAGAAATAAGCATTACTCAATCATGGAACATTTTTTTTTTTTATTTTAAATAATAGTTCATTTACAGAACTAGTTTACAATGAGAAGGAAAAAAACTAGAAACTAAAAACTATATAAGATTTAATGAGGAAATTTCGGTTCAAAATAGAAAAATAAATAATAAGGCATATTTATTGTATTTCGTTTCGAACCTAATAATAAATACAATTTATTTTTCCCTCATATTGATATTTAATAATTTAAATCTAAATTCTGACATTTTCTAAATTTCTATAATACAGGTTTCTCTTAACAGAAATGCAAGCAAAATATTTAAGTAAAAAAAGGAACATTCTGAATCAGAAAGCCAAATTTGCTCATGCACCATCTTTAACAGTAAAAGCTTAACTAACCCCCAGCACTTGAATTGGCGAATATTAGGACAGTCGAGCGTACTTGAAGGAGCGGTGGGGGTAGACTGTAGCGCTCTTTAGTTTTTCCGCTAATAAATGCTTTTGACTTGCAATATGTGAATCATATAAAAATAAACCAATGGAACTAAAAAATATTCTGTTTAGCAGCACAGTAAAACTCTTTCGTTAGCAAGTGTTCATAAACAAATCTCGGATGGACATTAAAATTATTCGCTCTGCAAAATATGCAACGGGATTGCGCAACGTGCGCCGTAATCTTCCTACGTTAGATTACGCATTTGGAATCAACAACTGCCGGTATTGGGAGAATAAAGAACT